TCAGGTAACAGTGTGAAAGGAAATGGCTTTGGCTCTACTCCACCATGGTTAGGCCCAATAAAAACAAATGGCCTAAACAAAAGGAGATGATGACACCTGCAGAAGGAATGCAACACTAAGGGTGACTCAATTAAAGAAACAAGTGATAGCAAAAGCAACACAGGAAGAATAATGATTAGCCCAATTTCATACCTGTAGCTCACACCAAGCCACTTCCACGGTGGTCTCAGTGTCCAAGCCCTTGTAGACAGTCTTGAAGGAGCCACGGCCAATTTCTATATCAAACTTAAGGAAACGCCCATCTGGTGATGTTCCCACTGCTTTGGTCTCTGCCTCTTCAATGTCATCTTGCACCTTTTTCTCAGCTTCTCTCTGCTCTGCCTCTGCTCTTGCCTTGGCAGAATCCTTATCTTCTTCCTCCCCCTCTTCTTGATGTGACTTCACCTCAGTGGTGCTTTCAGGTTCTGTTTGACTAGGCAATTCTGTTCCTAAGCTCGGTATGGAGCGGGCTTCTACCACCACCTCTCCATCACAGGTATCTGGGACGATGGCAGGCTCCTGCTCTGAAGGCACTACATCCACCTTGGCTATTTCTTGTCCTTCTTGTCTTCCTCTTCCACTATCAGCGGACTTATGTTTAGCTAAACTTAGTTCTGTCTGCAGCAAATGAGGAGCAGCAGCCTGTTGCCGCTGGGGGACGGCTTCTCGTACTTGAACCCGTTGAGGTGCAGGGATGGGGATCTTGCTAGGTAAAGGGAGGGCCAATGCTGTAGCATTGGAATCACTGATGACACTGCGACGCAAGAAACGGTGTTCAGGGTTACATCGATCACGTTCCATGGTGTGATGGCGGCGTCTCACTTCTGTTGGCCGACACTCGCTCACCATCGAATCTGAACCAGAGCTGGGGCCATTTCCACTCTTCTGAGGGGGAGCCAGGAACTTCACCATTTTGTCGTCTGGCTTTTCCGACATCCCACCACCCACACTAGGAGTAAGGGGGTACACTGACTGAAAAATTAAAATAAGGATACTTCCATGTCCGCCATATAGGCTTATACAAGCAGTATCGATCTGTGCTTTAAAAAGAAAAAAAAGATAGAAAGTCCTACAACTTCTATCTCAAGCTGACTGTTTTATTGCTTAAAGACGGTCTTTATATATAGATAGTGCAGAGATTGGAGGTGTAGGATGGGAGGTGTTCTCTTGTAAATGGTAAAAGACTGAACACCACAGCAGAACACAGAGTGCTGATGTTGACAAACAAGTCTCTTTAAGTCCACACCATCCATCCTGTAAGACACAGGGTGCAGCTTCTCTCAAGCATAAGGAATCACTGGTGAGGAACAAACATGCACGGCCCAAAACAGGCACCAAACTTCCTACTGTAGGCAAAGGCAGGAAGGCCAGACACTCGGAATATGCTCCAGTCCAGTTTCTCTGCAAGACAAAAAAAGAAAGAGCTGCCTAACACGTTCCAAAATGTAACCAACATTATGTCAATTGTCAGCGAGATCTGTAAGAGACAAGCCTAAGTGCTCACAAGTAGAATTTACAGTATACATGAAGTTTAATACCATTGCTGTCAACAGAAAGACAGCTGACAGACACTGCATATCTAATGCAGTGCACAGCCTACTGTACTGCACTGAACCATCTGTATTCAATCACCATTTTGTGATTCACAAATGATCGTTGAAGGAAAAAATTGTCTTTAAATTAAGATAAGATTTGCTGTCTTGCCCAAGGACAAACGATGAAAGGCCCATGCTTGCATTCACAGTTACTTCATTGCAGGTCCTAGTAGGTAATTTTACTGTATTTTACAGCTATGGACACTTGGTATACCATTCCATTAATCTGTAAGTAAGCATTAAGTGTTTATACATATCAAGTAGACAATATAAATGAGCCTTTATAAGTGCATAATGCGGCACAAATGCCTAATGCGTTCAACAGCCATTCAGAATGACACACTAATCTCTCAATGCCTCACATTTGTTGAAGACCACAAGTAACTAATTGAGCACAGTTGTCAGCTGATTATTCCTCAGTCTCCACAACAGGAAACCACATATAATGCGACTTATGGGGTTAGTGAATACTGTCTAAGCAACTAATAGTGAGTTCATTGTTAAAATCGCTTCTGAGCATTAAACGTTAGAGCTGCACAAATATGAACTACCAATATCGAAACTGTAGGTTACATGCAAAAGACTGGTGCCATGTGGCATGACTGTTTTTGTAATTTGTCTATAGTGGCCTTCTAAATATGCAGACTTGCAATGACAATGTTATTACTTATTAGTCATCTATAACCTGCCATGGCTGCAGCCATTACCAGCGCAGCAAAGCACAATGTCAGACCCAAACCTGGTAATGTTAGCAGCAGTAACATCCCAATAAAACAGAGATACGACGGCACGACTTAATTAAATTAATTTATTAATTAACGGAAGCCTTGTCTACGTACCTACTTCTCCGCCGCCTCGTAAGTGACACCACAGCCATTTGAAATGGCAACATCGAGCATACAAAGCAAGGAGGAGCAACGGCTCTTTGTTAGCTTGCTAGCAAGCACCGCTAGCACAGAGCTAGTTAGCCGGTGTTAGCTCATCTTTGACCAGTGAAACGTTAACCAACGATGAATGATTTCCACGTCACGTCTTTTTAAAATGTATTCCGCCCCGCTGTTAGCATATCATCTTAACGTTAGTTATTTCCCTTAGCTAGTGTCGCCATATTTAACGTATCTGTAACCGTTAGCAATTAACACCAGCGTTTATGTTACTCTATATTGACAACTTTACCGTATCCTGGGCCAGTTTCCGACCTGAATCATTAACATTACAAGCTGTACACCGGATACGTTCGTCCGGTATGACGCCAGTTGGAAACCAGGCTTTGAGAAATAGCGCCACTGCTACCTAGCTAGCTAACGTTAGCTAGGCTGGCCTAAGAAGCTAGACCCACCTCCTCCTGGCTGTCACCATTCAATTTAATGTTACCTGACGCGCTTACAGCTGTAGCGCTTCGTTTGTTGTTATTACTCACTTTAAAATTATATATTTACTAGGTGGTTAACAGCAACTATTCGTGACCAAGCGGTACATCTTCTGTATGACGTTTGTTTCGGCTTAGCAACGCTACGCTTGCCGCAGTTCGTTGAATCTAGCTTTGCTAACACTTACGTTAGCAGTGTAGCCCCTCACGAGCTAACTAACGTAAAGCGGTGCCGGGTGGCAGATAGCGACCTACCTCAATATCGTATCCACAACACAACTGACGACCATCGGCGTTGAAATTGACTTCACAGCGTTAATCCGTCTTGCCATATAAAAGGGGAATACATGTACACTATCGTTAAATGTCAGGCAGATAAGTTACCCAGTCAGTTAATATCAGAGTTGCGATTTGAGGGCTCTCTTACAAACAAGCGGCGCAGTTGCTACATATTGACGAAGAAACGGGTTTTTCCGAAAGCGCCTGCGCCAGTGAAGAATGACCTCATAACCACAACACACACATACATGGATCCCTTTGAAGCACCTTCATCATATCAATGTTGTATGATTTCCTGCAACAATAGATTTATGTAGGCTGTACTTACAGTCAAAACACCTGTGAATTCAAATCACAAACCATTTATGGGTCGTATCAGATAACTCTGATTCTAAATACTATGATAAGCATATTCTAAATTGATTAGTATTCATTAATAATAATCTCTTTGGAATATGTTTATGTAAGATATTGATTAGGTAAAGTTTGTCCACATACATATTTTGCTGTTAGTAGTTTGTTATCACTTGTATTATTTTATGTATTGTTCTTTGCCTTTCTATACTTTTGAGTTTTTTATAACATTAAAATTTTTATTTGGTGGAGGCTTCAAATAAACCCTCTGGGTTTTTTGCCTCTCCCTGCACTGCATTTCATTATTTATTTTCTTGCCTTTTTGTGTTTTAATTG